TTGTCCCTCGTCCCTCACCATACTGTCCCTCGTCCCTCACCATATTGCAGATCACTTCTTGCGTCTTCACTGCATCGCAGGTTTGTTGAACCCAGTTTTTTTATTTTCTGTACATGCTGTTCAGTACCGTACCTTCATCTCGTCGTCATCTTCATCACCCTCTCCAAAGTGTGTGCACGTGACGTGTTTCTAAGAGAATCAACGCTTGTCTGTCTGTTGACCACGCCCACCTGCTCGCTGTGATCAGCAGAACTTCTCACCTGGTGCTCGTAGAGTCTCAGAGCTCCCTGTTCTCCGTCCAGCACCAGATCATTGGACGTGAGCTCATTCTTCTGATTGATCTTCTCATCCTGACCAACTTTCTGGGCCTGGATTTTCTTGTTTCGCCTTGTGACTCTTTCCAGTGCATTTCCACATCGTGCGCTGACTCCCACCAGTCTTATCAAAATAAAGCTTATTGAACGTGACGTAACGGCCGCCATCGATGAGGGATCACTGGATCTTCTTTTCTATCATTTGATTTCATTTTTTAATTCCTGTTGTTCCTTAAGTGTCACATTTAGTGTCCAGTTCTTAAACTGGTCGTTTACCACAACATTAATTTTCATAGCAACTGGTTCAGCTGAGCCGTCTTTGACTCTGTAAGACCAGGATGTGAAAATGTTCTCGTCGGGGAGACGATGTCTCCAGAATCTACTAAACCCAACTCTGACATGGTACCAGCAGGTTCTGGTTCAGAGATGAAATGTAGCTCAGGTCTCAAAGGTCTTGGTTCTGCAGCAGAGCAGCCATCTTTTGAAGGTCATGAAGGTCGGCCTTCATTTGGAGCGTGCAAGTTTCAGAAACTATAAATGGACCTTCACTGGTGCATGGCAGCACCAGTTCTTATTCTACACCTCGGACGTGTGTCTACATTTCTATCTCGGCTAATGCGGCCCGGCCCGGCCCGGCCCGGCCCACAACGTGGACCCCTCAAAGGTTTTATCAGAACGCTCGTCACACTAACTGCTGTGGAGTCACATGACAGGTTCCTGACGGAAACAGAAACTCACTGTTGGATTTGTTTGAAACTCACAGAAAGTAATTATCTGATAAATGTCTAGAGCTGATTAACATTTGGAGCCATTTTGATCCAAGATGGCTGCCACGGCTACCTCAGCAAACACAAAACTGATTATAACTCGGCCATTTTTAGAGCTATTCATCTGAGCTGTGGAACAGTTGTAGCTGAGAGCGAAGCCCAACACCTTCTACGATCAAATCAAGAATTGACACCAACAGCAGCCTGGCAGTCACTTCCAGGCACTTTCTAGTAAATCCAGTTACATTCTTCCTTCTGGAATCTGGAAAATCCTGAAGTTGTTTCTTTTAAATCTACTTTGGAGATCCTCGATTTTCTGAGAGCTCCACATCAGGTGGACCAGGTGCCACAGCACCCTCTGGTGTCTCACGGCTGAATCTTCTACCAGCTGCTGCTCTTCAGGTCCCTTTCAGTTGAAATGTGGTCTTCTGTATCTAGAACTGCTCGCACCAGTCGTTCTAGGGTCATCGATTATGTCCGTCCTGATTTTCAACTCTCCCAGCACCATTATGATCGGCTGGTTGTGGGCTGACTGGTAACTCTAACTTGTTCCTAGGGGAGAGAGAGAGAGAGAATGATTGTTTGTCTCATTTGTCTGTGTGTCCCTGTGATGGACTGAGACCTGTCCAGGTGTCCCTGTGATGGA